ATATCTCTGTTGCTCGTGACAAGAAGCAGCACTGTGCATCACTTTTTATTGATTTGTCAAAAGCGTTTGACATGGTTGATCATGATGTTTTAAAGATTAGGCTTCTTAAATCGTGGTTTACAAAGAAAACTGTCTCTTGGTTTTCAAACTATCTTAGTGACAGAACTCACTGCATTAAGCATGATGGTGTTCAATCTGGTATTTTACCAATCTTTAAAGGGGTCCCACGAGGCTCTGTATTAAGCCCTCTTTTGTTTACTATTTATATAAATGATCTTAATCGGCATGTGTCTGATGCAAATTTTCATTTTTATGCAGATGATACAGTTTTATTACTGCTGTGCGCCTTCTCTTAAACAAGCCATTGCACACTTACAGAATGCTTTTAATGTGGTCCAAAATTCTTTGCTACAGTTGAAACTTGTGCTCAATGCAGACAAAACTAAATGTGTGCTTTTCACAGACCTTCGGAACAGGCCACTGAATGTTCCTTCAGTGGTTACTCTCGATGGTCGTGAAATACAGATTGTTACAACTTATAAGTATCTTGGTATTGCTGTGCTTTTCTTTTATAGTAAAAAAATGGTTGGTGGCATCCACTTTTTTAACTTGCTGGACTATGGTAATATATTATATATGCATTCATCTGCTCAATGCCTGCAGATGATTGACACAGCCTATCATGCATCATTGAGATTTATTACTAATTGTAAAGCTCTCACCCATCACTGTGAGCTGTATTCTCGTGTAGGGTGGTCTGCCTTGGCTACACGGAGGCTTTGTCATTGGTATGTATTTATATATAAGGCTATTCTTGGTGCGCGTCCATCTTATATATGTTCACTTCTTGTGAAAAAAAGTACTGGTCATTACGCTCTCTGTTCTCAGGCTGTTGTCTTGTTTTCTGTCCCGCGTGTCAGTACTGAGCTGGGTAAAAAGGCCTTTGCTTTCTTAGCTCCCTTTACATGGAATTTGCTGCAAAATAACTCGAAACTTAGTAAATTGGTTCATTTGAATATTTTTAAGCTGAGAAAGAGATGTTTTGAGTTGGACTTCCTCACATGTCTATGTATTAATTGAAATTTTATTGTAAGTTCAAATTTGGCTTTTATGTGTGTGTCTTTGTACATATGTAATGATGTGATGTAATTTTGATGCTGTCATGATGGGTCTCTGTGATTTAACCCAACAGAGCC